ACTTCTTTCAACATAATGATGTCACATTGTTACCATGGCCACCAAGATCTCCCGACTTATCCCCAATTGAGCACGTGTGGGATATGATGGGTAGGAGATTGCTCAATTTGCAACGTCCTCCTCAGACTCTAGAAGCACTTTGAGAGGAGCTGGTGGTTGCCTGGAATGAGATACCACAGGAGGACATTGACCACCTGATACGAAGCATGCCTAGGCGCGTTGGAGAATGCGTAGCACATCAGGATGCATCCACACATTATTAAAGGTCAAAGGGCTTTAAAGCAGTGCATCATTTTGAAATTTTTATCATTTTCTTATTATGCTTCATTAAGTACTTGTACAACCATTTAAACTGGGTGTTCGGATTTATATGTCACTTAGTATAATTTGCACAAAAGTCAGTGGCATACATTTTGTCACAAATATTCGTTCGATCGCTACCAAAATCAGGTAAAGGATGTTTGAGATACTGACGAACATCCATTTTTTTTAATTTAACACTGCGAACACTTGGACATACGTTTATATAAACTTACTGTCTTGAAACGACTCAAAGAACCGTCTGTTAAATTTATGGTACATACGTACATTGTAACTAACGACATTGCAAGCTTACACGCTTTAAAGGTCTTCGCAGGCACCAAAACAGTACCTCAGCCTCTCCAAACGCAGTTTGTGTAAAAACTAGCTCATGCGACCGTCTTCAGACGTTCATAAAAAAATCTTCGTAACCGTCAGTTGCGTCTCTCAGCCACACGCACGGTTTTTCCTCGAACCCGTAAAGAAAATCTGTAAAAGCCATTGATATACGGCCTGCTGGATCGCATGAACATTCCGATGTGCGCCGATCTAGATCATTCCGATCGCGGAACGGCAAATTCGAAAGAGGAAGACCGATACGGTGTTGAGAACAGGTGTCTATCACAACCTTTCAGTCGCCGAGAGTTTTTCCACCGGCTCGTGTTACGTAGAAACACATTAGACGGCGAATTTACATAATGTCCTGTTTACGCTTTGAACGCCTGTTTTGGACGGTCATGCAAAAAAGATCGCTTTTGATCTGGTTTCCTTGTGCATAGTGGCACGAATCGGTATAGCTGTTAGGTGCATTGAGGAAATGACAGCAATGAAACGCTTAGGCCCGAATTTACTATGCCGATGCGCCAAAAACTGCGTGGAGCCCAAATCCAATAAATAAGAAGGCTGGTTGTTATGATAATTTTCTCTTTCTAGATCCTTTGGGCCTGAATTACCACAGCAAGTGGCTATAACCGGCCGCGTGGTTGTGGTTATTTGTCGCCTTGAAAATTCGAGGTCTTGTAGCCATTTTATACTACAATGTGTAGGTAGGCTCTTGTTGTGGACTTCGTGTGTCTTTTTCTTTTCCTCTCTACCTTTGTTTCCTCAGGTTACACCCGTATCCGGATGTATGTGCATGTGTATCTACTTTTGTAGTTGCATATGTGCATTCATTTCGGGCCTGATGAAGCCAACCAGCAGAAATACGTATCGCTCGGGTTACATATCCTATTTTCTGCTTGAATCCACTTTTTGCGGATTTGCCCATTATTTTCCTATTTTTGTTATATACCTTTCTCCGCATGATATTTTTCTCTTTATATATATATATATATATTTTTTTTTATTTATTTATTTATTAGCAGCAGATTCAATATGTATAGAGTTTTTTACATCATATTAAATATATAGACTTTACAATTGTTGTATAATATTTAAATCCAGCTATCTATTCTTAAAATTACCCACTATTGCTAATAGTTTTAGATGCACAATTGTATTCAAAATACTGTGTGTGCACCCCATTCACATTGTTAAGTGTAACTTTTTCATTGAGTTTCTTAATTCTAGTTTACAAAGAGAAAAAGAAATATAAAAATAGATCAAACAAATTCAAAGCTATTATGTTTTATCTTAAATTTTAGGAACTTAATACCTTTAATGCTACAGGTTTTTATATTACATAATTAATGGCGTATTGACTATCAATAATCCATCTTGTTAATTCCTTTTTAACAGTAGAATATCTCAATCTCTTAATACTATTTGGCACATCATTATAAACTTTTGGACCTATACAGTAAACGTGACTCTGGCAAGCTGTGTGTCTAGGGTTTTGCAATTTTACTTTTGCATGAGCAGCACTTCTTGTATTTTGGCCATGCTGTAAGTATTCTTTATAGAAATCATATTTCATCATAAATCTTATAAGTGATTTTAAATAGAGCTGCTCTAGGTTCAGTATTTTACTGTCTCTAAAAACAAGTTCAGATGAATATCGTTTCTGTTTGAAAAGCATAATTTTTATGATCTATTTCTGAGCTACCTGTAACTTGGATAACGTTGCTAAACTTGTATTTCCCCAAACTACGAAACCATAATTAATTACAGATTCTGTTAAAGCAAAATAAACTGTTTCAAGAGTTCTGAAGTCTAATATTTCCCTTAATTCATAAAATTTGTGAATAAGTTTTCTAATCTTTGTTGTAACATACTCAACATGATCTTTCCAAGTAAGAAGTTCATCTATAATTATTCCTAGATATTTCAAGCTCGATTTCTTATTTATATATTTGCTACATGCACACTGAGGTGCAAAGTCACAATATGAGTCATGAATCTTAATGCAGTTTAGATTAGGCAAAGTACGCGAGGAAAGGGAAAAAGTCATAAAATTGGGTTTCTCAATATTTAGAGAGAGCAAACTAAAATCTAGCCAATTTTTAATTGTGTGCAATGCTCTTTCAGCTTTTAATTTGACGGAATCCCAATCTTCACCACTTACTAAAATACTCGTATCATCTGCAAAGCAATAGATAGTTATGTTTGCATCATTTAATTGTTCCATTATATCATTTATGTATATTATAAACAGCAAAGTTGAGAGAACCGTACCTTGTGGCACCCCGCATTCTACCTTCAAAATATTACTTTCCTGACCCGAGACATTTGTGATTTGTTCACGTCCAGAAAGATAGGACTTTATGAGTTTATTTGGAATGCCCCTTATTCCCAGATTATCCAAACGACCTAGTAAAATTGGATGTGCCACTTGTTCGAATGCCTTTTTTAGATCTAAAAATATACCCATCACCTTTTTTCCTCGGTCTAGCCCTTTCAGAATACTCTCAGTGACCCTGACAAGTGCAACTTCAGTGTTAGAATTATCTCTGAAACCAAAGTGATTTAAGTTGAGTAATTTATGCTTTTCCAAAAACTGCATTAATTTTCTTTTCAGACATTTCTCAATAATTTTGCTTACTGTACTAGTTAATGCAATGGGTCTATAGTTGTTCATGTCTTTTTTATCTCCTTGTTTGTGAAGAGGTATCACTTTGGTTTTTTTTAATATTTGTGGAAAAATACCAGTACCAAAAACTAGGTTTATTATGTGTTTCAATGGAATATTAAGTTTTTCTTTATATTTCTTGATTATATTTGATGAAATATTATCCTCCCCGCCTTTTACCCCATTCTTTAAACAGTTTATCTCCCTAATTACATCATCATTCGTCACAGGACACAAGAAAAGTGATTCATTACCTCTTTTTTTCCGCACTTCATTCCTCCAAGTACCTCTAGTAATTTCACTTGCTAATTTTTTACCAATGTTACAAAAATAATTGTTAAATTCATCTGCAACTTCTTTTTTATCAGTTATTTCTGAATTAGTTTTGGTAGTGATACATTTTATTTCTGGTTTACTCTCTTGGTCATTGGTGGCCTCTCTAAGCACATTCCACAATTTTCTGGGGTTATCCAAATTTTTTTGTGTTAAATATTTGTAATAATTATACTTCACTTTCTTGATAAGTTTACTTAAAAATTTCCTGTATTCCTGATACCCGTTTAAAACTACGAAATTGCTGGGATTTAGTGCACATTCCCTTTTAAGGAGGTTTCTGTTTCGAATAGATATTAGGAGCCCACCAGTGATCCAAGGTTTTAATTTCTTTTTTTTATTGGGTATAGGCCTAGTTATAGTGGCTTTCAAAATGATGTCTTTTAGTCTATTAATGAAAGCCTCTGTGCAAAGCTCTACATTATTTTCTTGTAGAACATCACCCCACAACTCTCCGTTTAGTTTTTGCGTGATATTTTCATAATCTATTTTTGTAAAAGTATTAATTTCATTTGTAATGGCCTCACCTAATCTATCTGGCTGAATATTAAGGAGAATGGGGTGATGATCTGTAAGGTCGCTCTTCAAAATCACAGCCCTAACCTTTTCAAAAACATTACTCTTACATTCAATAAAAAAGTGATCCAAACAAGTCCCACTGTTATCAGTAATTCTTGTTGATTTATTAATTGCACTCATTAACCCATAGCCTTGCAATAAAGTCAAATAGTTATTTGTTGTATCTGTTTCCCTATCTAAGAGATCAATATTAATGTCCCCAGCAAATACATAAACCTTGTTCCGATCAGTGATGGAACGTTGAAATATTCTTCCTAGACTATCAATGAATTCATCCTTCGAAATACAAAAACACCTATACGTAGCTAGGAGAACAACCGTTGCATGATTTTTTTGCAAAGTGACACTAATAATCTTTAAATTATTTTCTTGAATTATTTGATTTGTAATATGATATTCATTTTTAACAAAAATTATTGATCCATCACATCGATTAAGACTACTGCCGTTAAAGAATATTTTGTACCCAGGAATGTTAAAATCGTCTATATTGTATACATAGTGTGTTTCTGACATAATTATAACATCGAAAGATTTACTTAATGATTCAAGATACACCAAAAATTGGTCAAAATTTTGATAAATACTACGTATGTTTACATGCATAAAATTAAGGTCGCTTACAGAATTATCAAAGAAGTCTACTTGACATAAGTTATCACATATGTTTGTTTCTAAGATCTTATAATCATCAAAAATACTGTTTATAGCCATTAAAAAAGAGAAAATTATTACTTACACGTTCTGTTATAGATCTCCTAAAACATTTACTATACCTATACTATCTTAATTTCTCCAAATCAGACTCACATTTAATTTTTATGGCTTGCTCATTTTCATTTGTTTTGATGTAAACAGATCCATTGATGTAAAAAGCTGCCTTATATCCCTTTTGCTTTGTAAGTTCCCTTGCCATCTTGAAAAGTACCCTCTTAGACATTGGCAGATCCTCGTTGAAATAAATCTTTCTGTCACTTCCCTCTAAGCCACATTGCCTTGTAGATATACCCTTTAAATCCTTGATTCTTTTGATGACATCCCTTTTTGCCTGCTCACTTTGCATTTTTAACAAGATATGTAGGTCCTTCACCATTTTTGTCCAATCGAAAACTCTCCATTACCATGTTTGTAGTTTGTATTTGCATAGCTGTATATATATATATATATGAACTTTTTGTCTTGGAATTACTTAAAGAATCGTCTGCTAATTAAGACCGTGTACGATGAAATTCCTTCTGGTCGGAGAACCTTGTGCCCCAGCAAGAACGTCTCTGTCCGGTCACAAAGGCGGAAATCACCACTCGCCGTGCTAAAATTCGTGTGAATATCGAGGAAATAACACGTTCCTTGGCTGAATTCTCACGCGGTACCAGCATCGCCGGTCACTCTTCTAACCTCAACCGGGCTCGCACTAGTTTGATAACAGCCATCTGCGATCTGAAGGTCTACAATAAAGTCATCCGCCGGTATGGCATTACGTGGCCGTTATACGCCGGTGTAGATTGTCGAAGTCTGCACGATTTGAACTGCTCTCGAATCGGATGGTGGTGTTCGGAATATCAATGATTGGCGGTTTCATTCATTCTCGTTTCGTTTTTCGGGTACTTGTTCGTTATACAGGGCGTTCTGAAATTTGGGATTATCGTTCACGGAGCGCGTTTTGACCGTGTCAGGAAGGAGTATCGCTCCTGGACAAAAAATTTCAAATAACAACTAATTTCTTTAAAAATTGGTACGTTCAGGTTCTTCGATGATACCCGTAATGTTTCCAAATCCACAGTTTTGCAGAAAATGGTAGCAACTTTTGTTTTTCTTTTTGTTCTATACGTTTTATTCGATGTTTGTATTCTGGGAGAAATTCTGAATACTTTGACGTAGACCTCATACAGTATATTCAGATAAGAGATAGACCGGACATAAACAAGACCACGTGATCATCGAACGCTGTAACATTCGGCAGGGACGTATTAAGAGTCACGCAGTACATATTTTAGATAGTAGATGCTGCTTTGCGTAACTTTGTAGTAAATTAGCACAATTCGATGTGTATACGATTGGTGATGGATATAGGATCATGTGGGGGTGGGGTAAGAAATATATAATGATGTAAATATACATAAGGGTTTCAAAATTTTCGCTTCGATTTCCAGCTTCGGATGCCGCCTGATGTTTGGTGAAATACAGTCGAATATAATCTCAAAATGGCGTTTAAATTAGCCTAAATTAAAAATAATCGTATATCTCTTAAAATTGCTTTTAGAATATTGATTAGTATATTTTTTGATTTCCAGGTAAATATGTAACCAAATTAAAACGTTCAAAACGTAAAAAAATGTGCATGGTTGAACATTGTCAGAAAGTAGATTCTTGAATAGGTTTTGCCAAAATGGGTTCAAAAATGTCAATAATTAATTAAAAAATACAGTAGCTTTATAATTACTTATAACTTACCGAATTTGATGAACGACATCTTTTATTGGAAAGATGAGCTTCATGAGCTTTCATCATCGCTACTGTCTGAAGCACCAACATCAATAATGAATGGCTCGACTTGTTCCTCTAAAATATTGTCCAGTTCCCACATTCTCTGTTCAACTTTGTCTTTCACGTGCTTAATACACTTTTCCCATTTTTGCGCTGTTATTAATTCTAGTGCTTCTTTGAAAAGTCCTTTGAGGTCACAAAATTTAAAAGTTGTATTGTGCTTAGCTATATAATTTTTAACCTCTGCCCATATGAGCTCAATGGGATTGAGCTCGCAATGGTATGGAGGTAAACGGAGCACAGTTTTATTTTGACTTGCTGCCATTTCGTCAATGGCGTATTTTTGATATTCCGCTTGTGATCCTTGACAATTCTTAATAATTGTACTTTCAGCATTGCTTCTTCAAAGTTGATATTTTTCGAGCGGAGCCAATTTTGAACATCAACTTTCCTTGAAGCCGTTGTTGGGACCTTCTCCATTCTTCGAGAATGATAAGGCGCATTATCCAACACAATTACTGCGTTTTCCTCTAAGTTCGGTAAAATTTTTGAAAACCACTGTTCAAACGATTCGCCATTCATTTCCTCGTGGTAATCTCCAGTTTTCTCAGACTCAAAGCACCACAGACCGTCAACAACGAATCCATCCTCACTGCCAATATGGCAGATAATGAGCCTTTTCCCTTTACCTGGAAATCGAAGTACTAACTGGTGTAGATTTATTTCAATAAGCGAACCTTTTTCAAATGTTTTCATCACATTCAGCGAAAAAACATTGAGACATGAGTATCAGATTGCTATAATTGGGATTATTTAGTCATATTGAAAGAAAGAATATTGAACGTCGTATGATTACTCAGCGCTTCACAATTTAATTTAAAGTTATAAACCTTTAAAAAATGAATGATCAGGAACCTGAAATACGCGCAAATATTAATATTAACAAATTATAACTTTATAAAGCTTAAAGTATGAATTAAAATGATTAGAAATATTAGGAACGGTACACAATATAAAACTTAGTAACTTTTTTTAAGTTTATAATATTCGACATATTTTAAGATTATACTAAAAAATTATTGAAATATCGAAAACACATAAAAACATGGCTTAAAAAAGTTCTAACAAATGAAAATGACAATAAAACATCCACGCATTTTATCGAAAGTTATAAAAGTTTTGTTACTTGTAATATGTTTTATCTGCCCCCTGGAATTAATGTTTAGAACCTTGTTCCCAAGGTTTGAAAAATATCCGATTGTTGTCTATTACTCGTATTTACTTGCTGGATTTTTTAATCCGGTGGACAGTCCATCTAGAAAGGCCCTCCTGGATGAAGTTACAGAATCATCAACCCATACTTTACTTGTAGTGTGTCCTGCGTTTACCCACGTTTCATCAAGGTAATAAATCTTCCTGTTTTGATTTCTATATTTCTCAATTTTTGTTAAATAATCCCTCCTCCATAGCACAATTTCTTCTCTATCCAGTAGTAAACTATTACGACCCCGTTTTTTCCATTTGAAATTTAAATGCTTCAGTAACGCATGGAAAGTTGATCGTTTGAAATTAGGCAACGTTGTATCTCCATTTACCTCCTGCAGTACTTTATCTATAGTAGGTATTTCATTCCTAAAGAAGAATTCATGCACTTTCGTCCTAATCGCATGCTTATCAGCTTCATCCAATGATTTAACAATACTTTTGCGATGTTTACTGGTCATTGGCTCAGAAAAGGTGTGATTTTTTTGTATTGTCTTAACACATTAAACACTGATGCGCGACACACCCCAACTTTGTGAGAAACCTTCACAACAATTTCTTTGATGGTTGATGCCTCGTTCTCCTCGCGCTCGATCTTATATATATTCAAAATGAGAGCGTTTCCTAGGTGGACTACAGGAGTTTACAACTTCATCGGCAGTATCTGTACTACTGGGCATTTTGCGCAAGCAGTTGATAACAATAACAATCAATAACAAGGTATAACAATAACAACGACAAACTCAACAACTTAATAAGATAACAAACGAAAACGTCCAAAGAAATATCAAATTGCAATGATGCACACGACATACGTAACACGTCTGAACCTGAATGTGACTCTGCCTTGATACGACTGCTCTGCTGCTCGGCATAGGCATTTAATTGCGAATTGACCAATGAGGGCTCTTGTTTTACGTCAAGACGGCGGCGTTAGCGTGAAAATCACCCGAACCTTTTGTTTACATCCGGTCTATCTCTTATCTGAATATACTGTAGTTTTCGGAACACGCGGTCGAACATATAATATTTAAATGATAAAAGGTATTTTTTTACCTAAGCAATGACCGGTATCGAAAGTAATTTCCTGTCATTTCTGACATTCAAATATCCATTTGAGTTTTGTCATTTAGCTGAAACCGAGAGAATAGAAATTCTAATGATTCTGGGTTGCGGCGATCGTCAACGCACACATCTCGAAAACATAGCAAGATACCAAAAGAAATCAATAGTCAAAGATATTGTATTTCTATGAGCATAATAAAATTAGCACAAGAGTCAGTAGCGTACATTTTTTCGTCACAAATATTCATTCAAAGACGCCACTGGAGGATATTTAAGAAACTTAAGAAAAACCATTTTGTTTTTTAATTTTAACACTCTGTATCTTGCGGACTTAGGTTCAACTTCTTGTCTTAAAATTACTCAAATAATCACCTGTTGAATCTATGATAAATCTTTAATCAACTCTACAGACATGTTAATGTCGATCATATTAGCCTAATCGTTAACCCATTTGAGTATTTATGTGATGATAGTGCGACCTGGCAAAAAAACATTATTAGATTTCAGACTAGTTCAAAACTATTCTGCCGGAACAGATAATTACATGGCTTGTTGTCGTAAACATAACCATAATTAAATTAGAATTCCATATTATGAAGTTTCCATATGCTAGACGTGGAACTTAATAATAATAATTATGTATTTATTCCCACAAAATTCGATAGGGTGCAAATTTGTCAAATAGCTTTAAAACTAATTGATTAAGTATATTTAATTTCGTATCTATACTAAGTGGCATATAAATCCGAACACCCAGTTTAAATGGTTTTATTTTAATGAAATTTTGTATAAGTACTTAATGAAGCATAATAAGTAAATGATAAAAATTTCAAAATGATTGCACTGCTTTAAAGCCCTTTGACCTTTAATAATGTGTGGATGCACCCTGATGTGCTACGCATTCTCCAACGCACCTAGGCATGCTTCTGATCAGGTGGTCAATGTCCTCCTGTGGTATCTCACTCCAGGCAACCACCAACTCCTCTCGAAGTGCTTCTAGAGTCTGAGGAGGACGTTGCAAATTGAGCAATCTCCTACCCATCATATCCCACACGTGCTCAATTGGGGATAAGTCGGGAGATCTTGGTGACCATGGTAACAATGTGACATCATTATGTTGAAAGAAGTCTATTGTGACTCTTGCAACATGTGGTCGGGCATTATCTTGTTGGAAAGTTGGATCTGCCAGGGTTTCAAGATTGGGTAAAAGATGGGGTTCTAGAACTTCGTGGATATAACGCTGCGCGTTCATGTTACCTGATGATTAAAGGTGACCTGGAACCATAAGCTATAGCACCCCAAACCATAACTCCAACAGTGTGTTGAACATGTCTTTCAACAAAAAACTGTGGATTCCTCCTTTCACCACGTCGCCTTTTAACCCTGGCACGACCATCGTGCATGCCTAAACAAAATCGAGACTCGTCACTAAAGACAATACTGTTCCATTCCTGATCCCAGAGTGACCGTTGTCTGCACCACTCAAGGCGATTACGTCGGTGTTCTCGAG